ATTTCACAAATAAAATAAAATTAAAAAAAATAAATGTAGTAATTATGTATTTTTCTGCAACAATGAGAAGTACTTATGTGCTGTCCATTACAGTGGAACTTTACCTGCTCTGTCTCACTGTTTTCTTCACTGGCAGCTTCACTGGAGTGAGAGTCAGGTTCAGAATGAGAGAGTCCATTCTTCAATTTGGGACTTTTCTCTCCAATTTCTCCATTCACTTCTTTTTCTTTCTTCATTTTCTTGGGCTTAGGAGCTTCAGAAGCCACCTCACTTTTTTGCACTTTCTTAGTTTTAGGGGAGACAACTTTCTTGTCAATGAGTTCCTTTTTCTTTTTAGCATTCTGAGTTTTAGAAGAAATACTATCATCCTGACATGACTCCTCTTGCTTTTTTGCCTTTTTGGATTTAGGAGAACTCATATCAACTTCAGAAGACCTAGTTTTCTTTTTTTTAGTTTTAGGGGATACAGCTTCTTCCTGAATTTCTGATGACTCTTCAGTCTTCTTGGGTTTTGGCTTTTCTTTTCTAATTTTCTAAAAAAAATAATAATGTAGATTAAACAGAACAAGGTATCTATCTCATTTGTATATTATTTGTATATTGTTTCAAGATTACTTGAAATTGAGGAACTTAATTTTCAGGCATTCCAACATTTGTTTTTTGACCTTGTGATAAGGCAAAAATCAAACTGAATGCTTTTTAGTACCATTTCTTAGTTATATGGCTATAAATACATTTCAAACGTGTTTATTAGCATGGACCATCCAGACAGGCTCTTAGCAACTACTCAATTCATACTGGTTAAATCATTGTAAAACTGAATTTTCCTGACATTTCAAGTCATTCATGAGATACTCCAACAGACTCTTACAGTTTAGAAAGTGATCTAGTACTGGCCAAAGTTAATTCAAACAGAGAAAGTTATAAATATCCACAGACATATATGACGGAGGCTAAGCATGTTTATGTTTTTCTCCCTGCTAAAATTCCTATTAAGAAAAGAGGTAGGGGGCCAGGCTCTGGTGGCTCACACCTGTAATCCTAGCTACTCAGGAGGCTGAGATCTGAGGATCGCAATTCAAAGCCAGCCAGCCCAGGCAGGAAATTCCGTGAAACTCATCTCCAGTAAACCACCAGAAAACCGGGAGTGGCGCTGTAGCTCAAGTGGTAGAGAGCTACCCTTGAGCTGAAGAGCTGAGGGACAGCACTCAGGCCCAGAGTTCAAGCCCCATGACCGCCAAAAAAAAAAAAAAAAGAAGTAGGGGGGCTGGGAAGTTGGCTCAGTGGTAAAGTGCTTGCCTCGTGTGCATGAGGCCGAGGGTTAGCTTCCTCAGCACCACATAAGCAGAATAAAGCTGGAAGTAGTGCTGTGGCTCAAGTGGTAGGGTGCTAGCCTTGAGCTGAAGAGCTGAGGGACAGTGCCAGCGACCATGACAAAACAAACAAAAAACAGGCAAAACAGGGAAACATAGATATGGACCTGTCTATCTCAAAAGAGCAAACTGAATTAACTTAAGGACACTATGAAACAAAATGCTATAAGAATTTATTCTAGGGTGGAGGAGGGAAGAAAAAAAAGAATTTATTCTACTATAGATATGTAAATTTTTGTTTGTTTTTTGGTCCATCTTGGGGCCTGAATTCTGATCCTGGGTGCTGTCCCTTAACTCTTCAGCTCAAGGTTAGCACTCTACCACTTGAGCCACAGAGCCACTTCCGGCCTTTTCTGCTTATGTGGTACTGAGGAACCAAACCCAGGGCCTCATGCATGCAAGGTAAGCACTCTACCACTGAGCCACCTCCCCAGCCCCTACTATGGATGTTTAAAGAAAGGACACAGGTGGCTCACACCTCTAATCTTTAGGTACAAAGGAGGCTGGATCTGAGGACCAAGGTTCAAAGCCAGCCCACACAGGAAAGTCTGTGACTGTTATTTCCAATTAACCACCAAATAGAGTAGAGCTATGGTTCAATGGTAGAGCATAAGCCTTGGGCCAGATTGTTTAGGGACAGTAGCCAGGCCCTGAGTTCAAGTCCCAGGACCAACTCCCAAAATTCACATACTTAAAGCAAAATACACATACAAGTTACAAATCCATGGAAAAGGTAAAAAAAAAAAAACCTCAAAAACAAACAGTTGATTATTGGAAAAGGTAAAAAAAACCTCAAAAACAAACAGTTGATTATTTCTATTACCTGAAATTCCCAGTCCTCTCCAACTTTTCCTAACAGCAAAAACTACCAACACATTTAGGTGCTGTGGGTACCTCAGTATCTCTCGTGGTGACTCCCAAGCCAATTACAGAACTATGGGGATTCTACTGAGCTAAATTCTTTCTGCCTGACTTCAGCCTTCAAGTCACAGACAAAGGACTGAGAGTATCATAGTTCAGGGGCACAACATCTGTCTTACATGCTGGAGGGCTCTGGTTCAATCTCAGCAACTTGGAAAAAATTTAAATGTAAGTCATGAAAAATAAGCTAGTGTGCTGCAGAAATTTCAGTCCTTTCATCCCTTGTACTGAGTAAGAGTAAGCTTCCTATAAGTAAGCGGGTATGGTCCCTCTTCTGGGCATTCTATAATTGACATATACTTTCATATCCTATACTGACTGATGAAGAGTCAGTAAATGGGAAACAGTATTTCCCTACCACCTGTAACTAACAGGTCTGTGTTCCCTGGGCCAAAATACTTCAGTATTTAAGAGCTTCCAACAGAAAACCCATGCAGATGAAAGGAAGAAAATTGGAAGCCGTGCACAATAATATAAGGAATATCCACTAACTTTATCTCAGGCTCAAATAAAGTTATATCAGTCAAAAAGTATGAGGCTGGATGTTATTTTTAATGTACTTATAATGTACTATTGATTTGTTCCTTTCATATGTTCTTCCCCCATGGTATAACCCTGTTTTCACTGTATTTGATTCCGGTACCCTGCATTTGTGAATACATTTTTCTAATCTGGGGAGGGGAAGGGAAATAACAAAAATGCTCAAACAAGGATACAGGCTGACCGATTGTAATAATGAGATGCACAGGACCCTACCTTAAAAATGAATTTTGGTTGGGGAAAGACAAAGGAGGGGGTAACAATGCTGGAGAGGAAATGTACACATTACCTTACTCATGCAACTGTAACCCTTCTGTACAGTATCTTTGCAATAAAAATATAATGAAAAACTTTAATGAGAAAAACAATCATAAGGCTGCTTTGGGGATTCAGCAGTGGAAAAGCTGTTGCCTAGCAAGGGCACAGCTCTGAATTTGATTCCTAGTACTAAAAATAAGTAAATTTTTAAAAAAGTAAAAACAACCAGATAACTACCAAACTAATTTAGAATGTGCTCACTTGTCACCATTCTGTAAGAAAGTAACGATGAAAGGGGTGACAATGACCACAATGCATGTACTCCTAGTCTTACTTGGGGACCTCCTTTTTGTGTATGTGCCGGTCCAGGGGCTTGAACTCAGGGCCTGGGCGCTGTCCCTTGAGCTTCTTTAGCTAACGGATAGCGATATACCGCTTGAGCCTCAGCTCCACTTCGAGCTTTTAAAAATATTATTATTAATCAGATATAAGTGTCTCCCAGACTTTTCTGCCAGGGCTGGTTTCGAACAGCGATCCTCAGAATTTAGCCTTCAAAGGAGCTAGGATTACAGGCGTGAGCCACCGGCGCCCGGCCCACTAGCTCACTAAGGGCAGGCTGCTTAAGCCGGAAACAAAATCTACTTCCCTTATTATAGGAAACTGAAATGTCAATGAAGGCTCAGCCACGTGCGGCAAGAGTTTATTTAGGATCTGGGTAGCCGAAAGCTTTGTCTTCCGTTCTAACTCCTTTCGTGGACGCTCACACCGGACGCAAAGGCTGAGCCTCAACCCTGGGGCCTAACCGCGGACACAGCAAGCACTAAGGCAGGTGCCGGTGCCCCGTCTCCCAGGACCACGTGGGCACCCGCACTCTAGGGTCTCAGATCCCGCCTCCCGCCTAGAGGAGTGTAAAAGCCGGCACGACACGTCGGCCACACGTAAGGTCGCGACGCCCGCTGGCCCGGGGCAGCCGCACTACAGGGACACCGGCCTGCAGAGCCGCACGGCCAACCTCCGGGAGGCCGAGCCTCCGCGTGTCCCGAACCCCAGGGCCCAGCGTCTGCCTTGCCCCGGGTTCCCCAAAATTACCTTCTCATTTTGCTTCCGCAGTGGCTCCATCTTTTCCACAGCCGTGTCTGATTCCAATTCAGCGTCGCTGCGGAGTTTTCCCGGCATAATTCAGCGCCAGTTGCCAAAGGCAGACCGGTCTCCTTAACCGCGTGCAGAGGAAGAGATAGTACCGTCCCGTAGGCCCACCCAGCTGTAGTCACTTCCGGTGGCATAGCACTTCCGGCGGAAGCAGCGGCTTCACGGAAGTCGGAGTTCCAGATTTTGGTTAGGAAATAGCGGCCGCTGACTACCTGCATGTCGAGCGTTGGCAGCTTGCGATTCTTGCCCAAGGCGGCGCCCACCTGAGGGTAGGGTGGAGGGAAGCCCACAAATAGCCCTGCCTGGTCAATGAAGACGTCTTCATGTTGCCTGGAGAGTGCTTTTGATAGATTGCAAGGTCAGACCGGCGGCCACACGCCCGCTCCAGGATAAGAACCCGAGTTCAAAGCGTCGGCACATTTCATTCATGCGCACGCTCAAACACCTGAGTGATCCCTCCAGTCAGTTGTGAGGACAGCGCTAATGAACTCCTAAGGAAGCTTTATAGACTATCGAGAGAGGCCCTCTTGCAAGCACTGGGCACCTAGGGTCCAGTAAAAGGGGCGCACCGTCTCATCATCGCTTGTGTTTCTCAACTCTTTTGTGCCAGTCATGGGGTTTGCTCAGGGCCTGGGCACGGTTCCTGAGTTTCTCTTGCTCAAGGCTAGCACTCTACCACTTGAGCCACAGCTCCACTTCCTGCTTTTTCTGTTTATGTGGTACTGAGGAATCGAACCCAGGGCTTCATGCATGCTAGGCAAGCACTCTACCACTAAGCCACATTCCCAGCCCCCTTAATTTTTAATGTATCGAGTGCACTAGTGTATCTCTCCAAGTTCTTTTCTCAGTCTTTCCTGGAAAATCGCATCTACTATATTAATTACAATCTCAGCTTTTTATTATTCTCATTTGTGGACAAATATAAGCTTCAGACCTATAAACCCAATTGCCAAATTGCTGATCTCTTTTTAAAAAAAAACCTCACGGGCCACAATACCAAAATACCATCTCGAATTAACCCTATTCCCTCTTTTTGTTGTTGTTGATCGCAGAGCCTGAAATCTGGATCTGGGCACTGTCCCTCAGCTCTTCAGCTCAAGGCTAGCTCTCTACCACTTGAGCCACAGCACCACTTCCGGCTTTGTACGTGGTGCTGAGGAATCAAACCCCCCGGCCTCATGAATGGAAGACATGCACCTCTACCACCGGAGCCACCTTCCCAACACCCTATTCCCATTTTCTACCTTTTACTGTTTTGTTATTCCTCCTAGTGTGATACCTCCCTGTCAAAAACAAACAAAAAACAGGTTTCATTCTTTTGCCTCTCTCCTATCAATAGGAGTCCTAACATTTATCCTAAAAACTTCTACCTTTTTTTGTCAGTTGTGGGGGCTTGAACTCAGGGCCTGGGCGCTGTCACTGACTTTTTTGGGCTCAAAGATAGTGCTCTAACCACTTTGGACAACAGCTCCACTCCTGTTTTTTAGGTGGTTAATTGGAGGTAAGAGTCTCATGGCCTTTCCTGCCTGGGGATGGCTTCCAATTGCAATCCTCAGATCTCAGTCCCCTGAGTAGCTAGGATTACAGCTGTATGCCACCGATGCTTGACTGAAATCTACTTTATTTTTTAATGTGTACTGCCTCTATTTAGCCTAACAGTTAAGAATTATCTGTGTTGGAACCATAAGTCACTACCTAGTCTCCAGATGTGATTTCTGGACAAATAGCAAATTCTCAAGTATATGCATCATGAATTTAGGTTACCATAATCTCTATCTTATATCACTCCTATGGCCTAGTTTTTAAAAAAATCTTTATTTTTGTAGTCCTAAGGATTGAGCCCAATCTTGCATATGCTATTTTACTGAACTATATACCAGCCCTCTTATGGTCTCTTAAGATCTCTTGGCCTCCAGTTTGACCTCTCCAATCCAGTTTCCTCTGCAGCCAATCATCTCTCTTAATACAAAAATCAAACCATGTTAAATCCTACCATTAAGGCCTCTAAATCCTTTTTTTTTTTTTTGCCGGTTGTGGGGCCTGAATTCTGGGCCTGGGCGCTGTCCCTCAGCTCTTTAGGCTCAAGGCTAGTGCTCTACCACTTGAGCTACAGCGCCACTTCCAGCTTTTTCTGCTTATGTGGTACTGAGGAAATGAACCCAGGGCCTCATGCATGCAAGGCAAGTACACTATTACTGAGCCACCTGTCCAAACCATCCTTCTCTTTTTATTCCTGTCCTCTGTCTACCACATGCAAATTGTACTGAACTAACAGAAAGTCCTAAGCTGCTCTGCCTGCAAGCCTTCTAAACTCTTCTATTATATATAATATATATATATATGTCATATATATATAACAAAATACATCCACTTTTCTTTCTGCTGTATACTACTTGCTTTAAAAAGTCTTTCTGGGGCTGGGAAGGTGGCTCAGTGGTAGAGCGCTTGCCTTGCATGCCAGAGGCCCTGGGTTCGATTCCTCAGCACCACATAAGCAAAAAGAAAAAAGCCGGAAGTGGCGCTGTGGCTCAAGTGGTAGAGCGCTAGCCTTGAGCTGAAGAGCTGAGGGACAGCGTCCAGGCCCAGAGTTCAGGCCTCACGACCGGACCCAAAAAAAAAAAGTCTTTCTGATTCCTAAAACCCATGTGATATACCCCAACTATGTCCTTAGCACTCCAACCCTACCTTTCTCTTAGCTTTTGTTAATCTCTATCATTGCTTGTCAGTACTTTTCATGAAGATAGTGACTGTGCCTGTTCACAAATATATTATTGTGATTAACAAAGCAATGGACACATAGCAGCCAGTAAGTATACTGAATAAACTTAGGATTGTGCACTACTTATATAATTTTTAATAAAATTTATTTAGAACTTAAAATGCTATACCTAATTAGCCATGCTATCAGTTTATACAGACCTTCAATGTAAAAAGGATCTTATTTTCTGTCACATAACATATAGAAGGAATGATCTGAATATAAAAATATAAATACATATTTTATAGAATGTTTAGAAACCTTGAGTAAGGTAAAATTGCCAAGTCTTAGAACAAATTTTTAAGACTACATTGAGAAAATTCTCAACACACAGTGAACAGAGATAATAAAAGATTTTTTCTTTATTATTCAAAGGTATAACTGGATAAGTAGATTTGTTACAACCATTCTGTTGAAATACTTTTTAAAAAAATACGACCAACTTCTTCGCAAATTGCAGACACATACCTCAACTATGATGACCTAATTTTTGGTGGATAATGTACATGATTAGGCAGAAATAGGCAAGCTCACACTTGTAGATTAACTGTCAAATGCTCAGTCAAAATTCCGTTTGTGGCCCCCACTTCTTGATCGATTTCTGTTCCCACTTCTTCTTCTACCATCTTGTCGACTTCCTGACCTGCTCCCCTGTCGACTCTGTCTACCAGACCGGCCACCAGATCGGCCACCTGACCGGCCTGATCGGCCTGATCTGCCACTTGACCACCCACTCCTTTGTCTGGAATTAGATGATGTGTTTCCATCATAATATTCTTCAATTTCAGGTAATTTGGCAGGTACTGAGAGTATCCAGTCTGAATCATGCCAGTCTGCCTGTGAGGGAAATTAACAGGATTAATATGAATGCTAAATAGAAACCATAAGTAAGCAGTGAGTAAAGAGGCCATTTTAGGGAGGTGGGGAGGGGGGCACAGGGAGTGTGCTGGGGCTTGAATCAGGGAATGGGCACTGTCCCCAAGTTTTTTTGCTCAAGGCTAGTGCTCTACCGCTTGAGCACAGCTCTACCTTGTTTTTTGGTAGTTAATATGGCGACTGAGAGTCTCATGGACTTTTCTCTGCTCCAGATTGCTTTGAACCACAATCCTTAGCCTCTGAAGTAGCTACGATTACAGGCATAAGCCACTGGTACCTGGCTATTTTATATCCTTTATCTCTTAGCTAAAGAACCCCTGTTTCAGGCTGGGAATGTGGTAGTGTGGCTTTGTGGCTTCATGCCTAGCATGCATGAAGCCCTGGGTTCTATTTCTTAGTACCACATAAATAGAAAAACCAGAAGTGGTGCTGTGGCTCAAGTGGTAGAGTGATATAGCCTTGAGCAAAAGAAAGCTCAGGGACAGTTCCCATGCCATGAATTCAAGCCCCAGGATTGGTTCAAAAAACAAAACAAACAACCAAAAACCCTTTTTCTTAATTAAAATGTCTGCAACAAAAATGAAAACTAAAAAATAAAGCAAAAAAAGTTCATGCAATACAATTTTAGTCTCTGAAGAAGCACTCAGAATCATATCAAGACTCTAAATTCATACTCAGTTTATACATTTTGCTTGCTTGTTTTGTTTTTTTGAGACAAGGTCTCACTATGAAGCCTAGACTGGCCACAAACTCACAATCCTCCTGCTTCAGCCTCTTGATTGCTGGAATCACAGGCATGCACTGCCATGCCTGTTTCATACATTCTAAAAGAGATCATTCTTTACTTTGTCAGCACAGAGATATGCCACCAATAAGAAGTGAAGTATTTTGAGGAAGTATGTTTAAAGAACCAAAAAATAAAATGAAAATGTATCATAATACTTCCTACATCAGGAAAGAACTTAAAAAGAGGTACAAATAATTTGGAACTTGTTAGCAAAATGAGTTCCCTTCTCCATGCTAAGAGCATGCTCCCTTCCTAGGCAACACCAGGCCCATGTAGTAAAGGCAGTAAATAACCAACTTCCAAACACCTTTACCTTGGGATGGCACTTCTCTGGGGCAGTTACCACCATATAAGGCAACAAGACCTTCAGGTCTGGGCAATTGCAGGACCCCTTATCTACTATTTGGACAGCAGCCATTAAATCCTAGTCTGCCATGATGAGGCCCCTGGCCTACACATCCACACCAGGGTCTCCACCTCCTAGCCCCTTCTAGCCCCTCCTAAACCTCCTAGGTTATATAGTCACCTCAGACAATAGCTGGCGCTTCTTCGCACTTCTCCCTTGTGAAAAGAAACTTACCAGCCCCCTTTCCCGGCAATAAATCTTTCTTTGTTCTCTGTACCTGGATGTCTAAGTGGTTCTCTGGCAAAGTCTAATAATCTTTTTTAAGC